AAAAATTAACTACAGCCATAATGAGGTAACAAACTATAGAAAGATCATTGGATTAAGAATCTAGACACCCAGTTTCCATGAGCCTGAAACAATGTTTCTATATTTCTTTTAAAATGCTTTATATAATTAAAAGTAAAGTAAAAGATGTGAAGGAGTTGCGGTGAGTCACAGAACGTTACACATGGATGAGCAAAATGAGAAGAAAAAAAGGACTTCGCTATTGCCCAATTAAATGGTGGATTATAAAATATTCAGAATATCAATTATTCATATTAGATTGTGTGCATGTGTGTTTGTGTACAGCAGTGTGTAGAATATCCACAAACATAATTTCTTAAAATATTTAAAAACTTATTAAATGTCACCTAAACATAGAAAAAGTGAGTGGGGTAAGGTAGGGAGAGGGACAAAAACAGCAGCATGAGAATACATAACAATAGTTTCCTATATAGCATAACTACTTCCAGTTATAGTAATTTAACATTTTTCTTTCCTGTATTATTATATTTTAAAATGATATTCAAACAGTTAAAAAGAAACAGGGTCATGAACCTTTCATGGAAGACATTATCCTAAGAATGCAGACGACACTTTTCAGAGTTTATGTCAGTAACCACGGTTAATAGATCAAACATGCCTGTCTGAACTTGATCCAGTAATAACTGCTATCTATACTACTATGGGAAAAGATACTACAAACTGCATGGAACAGCTTGACATGACAGTATATGCTGTATAATAAAAGTGAGTTAAACCAGGGGTGAGAAATAGAGTCTCCCTCTCTTTAGTCTATGAATAGTTTTTCCTTGATATGTAATACTTCCATGGAAATGTTACAGATTACACATTTAAAGTTTAATCACCAACTTGAAAAGGATTAATGAACTAACATGAAAGAGGACACTGATCCAAATACAGAACAGATCTCGTATCTTTACATAAATCATTAAAAAAGATCAAGTGGCATGTTTAAAACAGGATGATTGTTTTTAATTTAGTCCACATCATTTCAATTTTAATCTTAACTACTGAATATCAATAATGAAAATTAATAAGTTTATTCTATACAACTAGCCTCTAAATCTTTAAGGCAAAGTCTGCCTTTTTTTTTTTTTTCTTTTTCTTTTCTTTTGCAGAATTACCTGGGCATTTCATTTCATCTGAAAAGTCCCCACAGTCGTTAGACCCATCACATATCCAGGTTGGCAGAACACACAGTGAGGTAGAATTGCATCTTATGAACCCTGTGGTTTTCACTCCAAGTTTATAGAAGTGTGTACAGTCTGTGTTGTCTATAAGGAGATAAACAGAAAAATAAACAATACCTCAACTGCAAAACTTTATGAGCCTTCTGTGCAGGTCATAGAGACAAGAAAAGTTAACCTCATTTGAAGAAGTAAATATGGAATTATCCCATGCAACAGGGGTATATTATCAAGTGTGGATGAGGTTCAGTGGAAAGTTGGATAGTGTTCAATGTAATGCCCAAAGTGGCCAGGCATACACAGACAAAATGGAGTATCTTACTGCAGCTCTTTTCATCCGAAGCATCTGCACAATCTATGTTCTGGTTGCAACGTGCTGACCTTGGAATGCATGTCCCATCTGCACAGCGGAACTCAACAGCAGCACAGGTTGAAACTAGAAAAACAGGCAAATAAAGAAAGCGATAGGGCCGGCCGAGTGGCACGTTGGTTATAAGAGCTGGCTTGGGACGCCAGAGGGCCCCGGTTCGGATCCCACATATGAGGGTCAGTGACACTGCCCTCTACAGCTAAGATGCTGAACAATAGCTCAACCTGGAGCTGGNGTCAGGTTTGTGACTGCTCTCCACCCTCAGCATGCCCCTGCAATCAGCATTCCTATCACCATGGAAGATCCAAAAATGAAATCCTTCTCAATTATCCTTGTCTACTTTTTTATTATCACTGTTACTCATTCTCAAGGTAGTCATAATAGATATAGCATTAAAATGGCTGTTGAGAAATTTAATTCTGTATGACCTTGGAGAAGACTAGTGTCTGAATTTCACAATCTGTAAAATGTAGGTTATGACTACAAAATTACTAAGATACCTCAAACCATAAAATGGCACAAGGCTCTTTGTAGCTAATTTTATGGCTCCCTTGGTAGTGCTCAGTGGATTCTGTGTTAAGAACATGCCAAAACATCACAGTCAACTGGAAAGAAAATGGGCCAAAGAAAAACTCATGGCTTTGTTCCATAGTTACCATTGTCATCTGAATTCACACTGTCTTCCTCAGGGATCTGAATCCCAAGGGAAAAGCAAGACAAGCTAACGGCACTGCATCACAGCCATCTTGTGTACCTACTCAGGACAATGTTTGATTGGTAGGAATGACTCTCTTATTTAGTATTTCAGAAACCTGGATTCTGGTCCTAGCTCTGTCATCTCTGATTCACTGACTGACCTCAGACAAATGTATTAACCTCTGTGAGTTTCTCTTTTTTCATCTATCAAAGAATGAAGGTGGACTAGACCATGATTTTCAAAAAAGGACCCTCAGATCCCAAGTCAGAACTACTGTATGCTTATTAAGAAAGAATGTGTTTGGAAGCCCCCATCAGAATATTTGGAGGTAGAGATTAAGACTCTACATTTTTAACACTTCTGACAAGGGTATTTTGTGCAGGTTGAGAGCCACCGAGATAAACCATTTATAAAGTGCCTTCCCAATCCTAAAATATTGGGTTTACTTCATTGACTGATTTTTGAACTAAAGCAATAATTTTTATGTGTCCCCAGCTTGGTATTTAGTATATAAAATGTAGCCTAAAATTAAATTAAATTGACTGGGTGTTTGGACAACAGGTAAACATGTCCTTTACAATTTTAATCCTTTTTTATTATTTGAATTCTCAGGACACTGAGAGATACAGACATAACAATAACAATATTGTCAATGACATTAATGATATACATGAAAATAATTGAAAAATAAGGGAAAGATGAGAAATAGAAGAAAAGATAATGGGAATAAATTGATTTATACAGTGCACATTGTTCATACTAGATGATTATAATGGTTACAAAAAGGTAGATATTTTTGTACCCACTTAACAGATGACAAATTTGAGAAATGAGGAATAAAATAGGCCTGGCTGTGATCACACAGTTGAAAACTGTTGATGTGGGAGAATTGAACTCTGCATGACTTTAAAATCTCTGCCCATTGTGTTACACTGTGTACACTCAGAAATGATGGCGGTATCGGTGGAGCCATTTAGAGTAGGAATAGACAAAAGGTCCACAGCAAGATGATTTTAAAGACTTGAAGTATGCTCAGCCCACTGGAAGGAGGTACTCTTTTTCTTATAATTAAAGAAAGATTTTATAGCAAATAGAAATAAAGTAGTGAAGAGTTTGGCCAGTCATCTAACTGATTACTGATTTCTTTTTTGCTTTCACAGCTTTTTGATAGTGATCTTTTTATATTTACCTTTCTTTGTTGTTTAAGTTATTTCAGCTGTGTAAATAAAAAAGTAGATTTTGGTTCACTTAAATACGAGAAAATAAACTGCCTGCTTTCAAAGCACAGCTCCAATTATAGGTTATTTACAGACAACTTCAGTTTAGTTTGAACATTATAAAATCCTATCTACCTGTCTCCATGGTAGTAACCTAAAGAGCTGGCCAGATTCCTGAAATTTAGAAAAAGGTGTCAAGAATACTTAACGTGATATGTGCATTTTATTCTATGACTCAGGTCCTTTCCTCTCTAAAATGATGATGCAAAGGCTATATAACAGGACTGATAAAATGAGTATAGAATATATATATCTGTAGATGCAAATACATACAAAAACTAATCAGATGGACAGACATATCAATTACTAGAATGCTTAGTCAAGTATAATAACTTTATAGAAATTATATTGCTTCCTTCTTTTACCCTTTAAGGAATTCAGTTAATTCCATTTAAATTATTTGATAAAAGTTTGTGATTATTTAAAAGCAATTACAATAATTGTGTAGTTGATATATAGTAGTTAGATATAAACATTTAACACTATATCTCTAATTATATAAAGCTGAATTTAAAGTACAGTTACATTGTAAAATAACATACAATAGCCTCTTTCTTTACTTCCCATTGAAAACAATAATAATGGTCACTATAATGAACACACACACACACATATACACACACACACAAATAGCATGTGTGGCTAGTAACAGTATAGAAAAGTATTCAATATAATACTTTTCAAGGGCAACTGAACAATACAAATCAAGAGCCATGAAAAACTATTTGATCCTTTTATACAAGTAATCCCAATTACTGAGATCTATCCCAAAGAAGTCATTGACCACTAGAGATTAAATTTACCAATATGTTCATTGTGTCAATATTCAGGAAAAAAAAGCCTAAACATTGAATAACAACTGTATATTTAAAAACAGAAAAACAGGTTGTCATGAAAATAATCAAAACAGCTAAATAGAAATGCATATGTAAATTTAATGTTAAAATAATAGTAGAAAACAAAGTTTTATGTGTATTCTAAAATGATAGAGCATATGTATCATCCACCTAAAAACTGAATGAGAACACACAAAAAACAACAACTCACCACAAATACTATCACTTTCATCTAATCCGTCTCCACAATCATCCTCTCCATCACAAATCCAGTGTTTAGATATACATTTTTGTGCGGAACAAGCAAATTGGTTCCAAGAACAAGAAGAATCTAGAAAACAAACGAGAATGTCTGTTTTAGGTACAAAAAAAAAAAGTTATTTGAGACCATTTTACGACCAATATGAAAGTGAGAAAGTTCTTTTCTAGATTTTGCTAAAATCAACCATTCTATAATAAAATAAGCCAATTCCTCTTCTCTATGACAGCTCTATACAATGTTGACAACAGTTTGCATATTCCCTCTGAGTTTCCAGGTTATACAATATTGTTCCTTCAATATAATTCTCACAGGGTTTGACTTTGAGGTAATCAGTCTTTAAACTGGTACTCTCCCCTAAGTATATTCCTGTTTATCACTTAAAAAAAATGTGGTGCACAGATATAAAATAAATATTCCAGGTGTGATCTACTTATCCTGACTAATTTTTAATCTATTTTTGAACAACTGAAGGAAAATTTACATCCTAGGCAAGGTCACAATATGGTGGATTCACCAGCATATGTTTTTTCTTTTGAAGATGAGGTGAGGGCAATGAGGACAAAACATATGGTTTTGTACCTATATGAACCTAACACTTTGATATTTTTGTTTATCACCCTTGAGAACACTTAAGTCTAACTAATAACATACAAATTCATTGGCATGGTGGCTGGTACGGTATTACCAAATTTTGTGTTTGTAATAGTGTACCACATTTATTTCCAAAGTCAGGTTTGTGACTGCTCTCCACCCTCAGCATGCCCCTGCAATCAGCATTCCTATCACCATGGAAGATCCAAAAATGAAATCCTTCTCAATTATTCGAATATAAATTACAAGAATTTTTATTTTTATTTTGATAGTATGAACTAGTTTTAAAAGTTGACACCTTTATTTAAAATATTTACTTAAATGACTTATGAAAAAAAGAGATGTTTAGAGAAACTGAAGCCTGGAAAAAATAAAATTAAAAAAGATACAAGCATATACTGGCTTCCTGTCCAGAAATTCTGAATCTACATAAACTATTTGTAAAGTTCTCAGTTAATCTTTCTCAGAATCTGGCTTTAATGTAAAGATATAGAGCATCTTAATCAAACAAAATACACCTTTATATTTCATGTGACATTTACTTTTAAGGGAATTTGACATTTCATAGATAATCCATTTTTCATCTTTTCTTCTACTCTGTCTAATCACCACAGTGCATGTTATTTGTGTTACATGAAAATAGTGAATATGTTTTATTTCCCTATAGGAAATTCCTTTTGCCTGGAAATCAGAAAATCCATAAATTTTATAAAGTAAATTTAAAAAAATACTTTCTTAGCTTGCCAAGTGAGATAAAATGTACACACAGAAATTAGGAGGTAGGTGGTAAAGGATGAGAATTTGAAGAAATTCAGGTTTAAACCTAGTCTTTAAATCTATACAGTAATTAACAGAAACATTTTGGATAATAATAAATAGTCAATAGCAGGAACAGGGAGTATAATGAGTAGTATGATCTAAATCCTTATTTTTAATAGCAGAAAATAAATATATGATCATCTAAATTTAATTAATCAATAAATGAAGATATATTATTTAGACTGATGAAGGTAACAACTAAGAAAAAAAGTTAAAAGAAAAAGCTAGGACATGAGATTATTATTATTATTCATTATATGTTTTTCTGTTCTATTTTAATTTTTACCATTTTTCATTATTTAATAAAAATGAAAATTGATGTTAAACTCAATTAGCAATATTATGTATATCTCTATGCAAGAAAACATCAGCATATAAATAGTAATATGGTTTATAAAACTAAAGCAAGATACGATATCTCACCACAGTGGAATTCATCAAGTCCATCCTCACAATCTTTCTGACCATCACATAGCCAGGTATTCAAAATGCATCTTCCACTAGGACAACCAAAATAATTTTCTTCACATTTGTGTTTGTTTTGCACTGTGACAAAATATAGAATGTAATGTCAAATAATTTAA